GTTCCAATATTGGCTTGAAAAAAAGAACACTTAAACGACAACAGTTGAAACAAGGCTGGGTCTCTACTTACCCTATATTCCCATTCCAACTCCCGCGGTTTACCGAAATAAATTCCCAGCCATTCGATCAATCGAACAGCATTACCCGGACAAGATTCGGTTAAATCGGCGAGCACCTCCAGAGCCAACAACGGATTTTTTCCTTCCCAAACGGTGCTCCTAGAAGAGGAGATTTAACGCCTAAGAAAGAAACGAACGAATGAATCAAGCGTTCATAGTCCAAAAATGGATGAGCAGTGTGGGAAGAAAATAAAAAAACTCACCCAAAGGCTTCATTCGTTACTTGTGTAAACACGCAGCGGCTTAGCATAGGAATTATGAACATGTCACCCATCTTCTTACGTGCTTCCGAGTTGGTGTACCCGAGTACTGCTCTAAGAACCTGAACAGAAAAGAGGCATAGAGGTGAGACTAGGATTTTTGGTGAAAGAAGTCCACTAGCAAGAAAAGGATGCCAACTCGCCATGGCTATCCAAGTAGAGATGTATCTTCAAACGCTGATCCCAAATTTTTGAAGCTGTTTTGTTATGATAACTGCTGTTTAACGTTCGCGTTCCGAATGTTATCACAAGAATGCTGAGTTATGGGCAAAAGTCGTGCCCCAGGCGGGAGTCGAACCCGCACCTCACGCTTTCCGGGCGAGTGCGCTATCCGTTACGCCACCAGGGCCGCTTTTACCCTCTCACCAAGTTAAACGTGTGAGTGCTGTAAGGCTACGGCATAAAAGCCGTTAAGCTGAGAGGGTAAAAGCGGCCCTGGTGGCGTAACGGATAGCGCACTCGCCCGGAAAGCGTGAGGTGCGGGTTCGACTCCCGCCTGGGGCACGACTTTTGCCCACAACTCAGCATTCTTGTGATAGCTGATCCCAAACCTTACTTCTAAATCTGCTAAACTATTCTGGGAACGAGATAATGGGCTAATCTCTCGCCTGTGGTGTTTCAATGTTTTCGGCTGTGTGACTTTTCTCGGTCTTTCTTGCACCACATACCCCTTCCGCGGATGGGCGGGCGCCTTTTTTTCTCGAGGAGAAGTACTGGAGAGTGCCATTTTTGGAGAAAGCTCTGGTAAAAGCGAGAGTGCCATTTTTGGAAAAAAGCTCTGGTAAAGCGGTAGGAAACTGGGACAATTTCGGAAGATGTAGGATGGGGATAAAAGTCGTACCAGAGGTGGGATTTTTGAGGGTGTGGTCGCATTTCGCAAAATGTCACAGCTGCAGGACGTGCTCTGAATGGTGCACAGATACCCACAAGTTGATGCCCATAAGCGCGGTAAAACAGCATAGGCAAGAAGAAGGCCTATAATTTTGCTTCCAGTTCAGCACATCTAAAAGTCAGGTTTGAAAGTAGTACACACCTTATACGACCTGACGAGTTGGGATCCTTTCCTTGCAAATCACCTCTATCAACAATTTAAAAGGATACCCATTTACTTACTCGCAGTTTCGCGAATATAAAGT